TCCCTACCTGGGGAAACAACCTTTCTCAGAGAGGTGACCTTGGTTAAAACACATAGTGCCAAGAAGGTGAGCAAACACATTAAGAACAGTATGCCATATATGCCAGGTCCCTTGAAACAGCAAGGATGGACCGGCTTCTGGCAGTAAATGAGGGATGATAGTGGATTAGATTAGACTGTTGTTAGTGTAGATTAAGATAATTGGACAATGTTAAAAATTATTTTGAAATAGGATCAACAATACTTGGTTGACTAATTTGCTATAATGGGTATGACAATGGAAGATAATATCAAGAATGCCTTTTAAGAGCCTGGCAAAAGGCAAGCATTCAATATATGTTGGCCATTATTAGTTTTCAATCTTTATCCAACTTAATTCCTTTTGCTCTTGATACTACTCATATAATGTTCTTATTTGCATTTGCCTTATATATATTTGCCTGTGTGTTCATTTTTTATTTTTGGTAATATTTTGTATGTTTCCCAAAAATAGTATTTTGTTGGCAAAAAAAAAAAAATAATGACTTTTAGCTTTCTGATTTAAGCAAACTAGATGAATAATGGTATCATTTCCAAAGTTGGGCAACATTTTTTGGGGGGAATAAGATGAAGGACAAGAACAGTTAAATTTTGTTGATGTCTATTTGAGATACACATTAATTATACAAACAAGAATGTTAGGTAGAGAGTTACATGTGTTAATCATGGAAGTTTTACAAGTTTGCAGTATAAAATTGAGATATAGCAAAATATAGATAGCATGCAAAGCCATGAGAGTGTATAAGCTAGTCAAGGAATAGTAGGGACCCTAGGAAGAAAATAGGACTTAACATACTATCATAAAGTCTGTTTAAAAAAGAGAGAGAGGAAAAGAGAGAGAGAGAGAAATATCGATGTGAGAAAGAAACATTGGTGGCTTCCTCTTGCATGCCCCTTCCTGTAGATCTAGACTGCAATCCCAGGCATGTGCCTTGACCTAGAATCAAACTGGTGATCTTTTAGTGCATGGGATGATGCTCAACCAACTGAGACACACTGGCCAACCAGGGCTTAACATAGAGTCTTGCGTAAATTTACCAATTAAGAGCTCAGTCTAATAGAAGAGGGTAAACTTGCAAAGGGCATTAAGAGGGAAAGATAAAGAGGTAAAGGAAATTTAGGCAATAGCAGTCAAAAGAAAATAATTCTTTCAGAAGTACAGTGTTTTCAATACCATCAAATGTTTAGAGGCCAAAAGTGGAACAACTAGCCTGTATATAGTGATATGTATACCATTGGTGAACTTATAATGAGTAATCTTAGTGAAATATTGGTGACAGAAATCAAATAAATGGATTCAATAATGTACAAGAGGTATAAGAGGCAAAGAAATGGCGATAAAGAGCACAAACAACTCATTCTACAAGTTTGGCTATGAAAGGCAGGATATAGATCTGTAGCTGGAAGAGGATATAGAGACAAAGGAATTATTATTATTTGTATTATTCATTAAAGAAGAAAGAGTAAGCATTGAAAGTTGATGGGGAGTATAAAAAATAAGCTAAAGATATGAGGATGGGTTGGTAACTGATAGGGTCTCTCAGTCTCTGATAAAGTTGGGCAGGTAGAGAATAAACAGCATAGAAAAAAATGTTGGAGTCATTCTTTGGTTTACATTCTTTCCATGATCCTTACAACAATATTCTTACCATTTCCTTTTCAGCCATCTCAGGGTCCCATTAGCCTGGTCTGTAAATTTTGTATGTATTATAACCCTGGGGTTCCTAAAAAGTTTGTATGGTAGAATCATTATAAGATAAGCTTTGGAATCTGTCAGATCCCATTTGAATCCTTTTCTATACTTTATTAATGTTTAAAATTGGGGTAATAATAACTAACTAGTAAGACAAAAACAGAAAAATACTGTATGACGTCACTTATATGTGGAATCTAAAAAAGCCTAACTCTGAGAAACAGAGAGTAGAGTGATGGATACCAAGGGAGGTTGAGCTGGGGGAAATGGGAAGATATTGGTCCAAGGGTACAAATTTCTTGTTATAAGAATAAGAAGTTCTAGGGACTTAATGTACAGCGTGGTGATTATAGCAAATAATAATACTGTATTACCTATTTAAAAGATGCTAAGAGGAAAAAAAAGATGCTAAGAGAGGAGATCTTAAATGTTCTCACGACAAAAACAAATGGTAACTATGTGACTTGATGGAGCTGTTACCTAATGCTGTGGTGGTAATCATTTTTGCAATGTAGAAATGTATCAAATCAACACACAGTCATACACAATGTTATATATCAATTATTTCTCAATAAAGCTGAAAAAATAAAACATTGAACATTAACTAAATAGTAAGAATCATGTTTTAAGCAAGGTAATGCATGTGAAACACAGCATAATATCTGATATATAGTGAGTGTTTATTTCATGCAATGCAAGAGGCTTGTTGTCAGCTCAAAATAATGGATCCTGAGCAAGGTCAGTTGGATACATGAGCCATCAGTTTACACCCTGCATCCTATTCCATCTACATTATCAGCAGTTTGCAAACCGGGTCCTGTGAGCCAAATCCAAACCACTAAATATATTTTGTTTATTCCACGGTAGTTTTAAAAATACCTTAAGCTTTTTGTCCAACATTTAAAAGTCATGAGATTTTACATATACATTTGGATTTCTTTAAATATTGGTAGATCTGGACATATATATTAAAATACAAGACTGTGCCAAAAGTTTCATTGATTCTATTCCCCTATTTTCCTCCTATAGGCACCTGAGTTTATAATCCCTGTGATAAGGCATAGCTAAACCTTGAGGTTGCTATGCAGCAAGGGATCAAATATATGCCTTTAACAAAACTTTCATCAACATTTATTCAGCTATCAAAAAACAATTTAAGACAAAGCTCCAACTCTTTTAGACTTATTTAGGTCTAATGTACAGTCATTTATAAATGAATAAGGGATCTCAGAAACGAAATTGTCTCCTCAGACACTTTCTAATTTTGTTCAGGATATTTACAAGTGGGAGGATTGACAAGGCAGAAAGAACTGTTGACTTAAGGGGGGAATCTCTCCATCTAGCTTTATGTCTCCATTTAAAATAACTTTTATAGGCTCACTCAGTAAATCATTTAGCCAAAATTAAACCTCAAAGCTATCATACCAGAATTTTCAGGCCTATTGCTCAGCTACTGAGCCTTGCTATCCATTAAAAAATGACCAGTTTCCAATGAATGACCTTATATGAAATGAAGGAATAGAGACCAAAGGTTAAGCAAGTTTTTCTTTTATTTAATAATGTATCCTTATATTAATATTATATTAGCAGCCAAATGATGCCCAGTGCCTTTGGAAATCAATACTGTTGTTAAAATTGATTTTAATTGAAGATGTTTCAGTTTATTCCTCAATAATAGATTGTCGTCGTATTTTAAAAAAGTAGTTTACTATGTGTCTCTTGGCTTTCTGAATGTCCTCTTTCAAAAAGTGTCTATTTAGGTCCTTTGCCCATTTTTTTATTGGATTGTTTATCTTCCTTTTGTTGAGGTATATAAGTTCCTGTAAATGCTGGAGATTAAACCCTAATCAGAAATAATGTTGGCAAATATGTTCTCCCATGCAGTGGGCTTTCTTGTTGTTTTGTTGATGGTTTCTTTTGCTGTGCAGAAACTTTTTACTTTGATGTAGTCCCATTTGTTTATTTTCTCCTTAGTCTCTCTTGCCCTAGGATCTGTGTCTGTACAGATACTGCTACAACATATGTCTGCAATTCAGAAAGCCAAGAGACACATGAAAACATGCTCAAAGTCACTAATCCAAGAGATTCAAATCAAAACAACAATGAGGTACCACCTCACACCTGTCAGAATGGCTATCATCAACAAATCAACAAATGACAAGTACTGGAGAGGATGTGGAGAAAAAGGAACCCTCCTTCACTGCTGGTGGGAATGCAGACTGGTGCAGCCACTGTGGAAAACAGTATGGCATTTTCTCAAAAATTTAAAAATGGAACTGCCATTGTACCCAGTAATCCCACTTTTAGGAATATATCCCAAGAAAACAGAAACACCAATCAGAAAGGATATATGCACCCCTCCCTATGTTCATAGCAGCACAAAATTTACAAGCTAAGATTTTGAAACAGCCTAATGCTCATCAGCAGATGAGTGGATTAGAAAACTATGGTACATCTACAAGATGGAATACTACGCTGCTGTAAAAAATGAAGGAATTCTTACCATTTGCAGCAGCATGGATAGAACTGGATAGCATTATGCTAAGTGAAATAAGCCAGGCGGTGAAAGAAAAATACCACATGATCTCACACATTTATGGATAATAAAGAACATTATAACCTGATGAACGAAAAGATAGATACAGAGGCAGAGAAGCATCAAACAGACTGTCAAAGTACAGCAGGAAGCCTTAACCGGTTTGGCTCAGTGGATAGAGCATCGGCCTGTGGACTGAAAGGTCCCAAGCTCAATTCCGGTCAAGGGCATGTACCTTGGTTGCTGGCACATCCCCAGTGAGTGGTGTGCAGGAGGCAGCTGATCAATGTTTCTCTCTCATTGATATTTCTAACTCTCTATCCCTCTCCCTTCGTCTCTGTAAACAATCAATAAAATATTAAAAAAAAAAAAGTACAGCAGGAAGGCTGGGGAATGTTGAGGGGCGGGGAGACAATGTGCTGAATATAGGAACTCTAAATCAGAGATAAACCAAAGGACTTTTATGCATACATATAAGCATAACCAATGGACACAAGACAGTAGGGGGTGGGGTGAGGGCATGTGCCAGAGGGTAGGGTAGGCTGGGGGAAGATCAATGGGGAAAAAAAGAAGACATATGTACTACTATTTGTAATACTTTAAACAATAAAATGAAATTTAAAAAAGAAAAAAAAGTATTTTACTAGCTGGATATATATGCCAAATAAAAATTAACAGAGCTTTTCAACTATAAAAACATAATCTCCCATCCCACTCTAAAATTCCTAGTCCTGTGTTCACATCAGCAGCATACATACTAAAATTGGAATGATGCAGAGAAAATTAACATGGCCCCTGCACAAGGATGACCTGCAAATTCATGAAACATTCCATATTTAGAAAGAAACAAAATAAAATTCCTAGGATAGAAGAGACAATCATATCTGAGGCTAGAGAAGCAAAAGGAAAAATGGTGTTACCTAGAGCCCTTGGTGGTTTTTAGCTCTTCCAATACATATTACCTAGTCTCTAAATTAAATTACCATTGCTTGAAATACCTATAGTGGTTTCTATTTTCCTGACCAGATAATGACTGATGATACTGATGACAACAGGAAATAGATATAGTAGTAATGTAGCATTAGTTACAATGAGATGCCTCCTACTCCTTTTAAGTACTGACCTTCAAATCTGAGATCAACACATATCTATAGAAGCAGACATATGAAAATTTGAACTATACAAAATGGTGAGCCACAGAGGCCAACACTGACCCTATATGTTGAAAAATGTATAAGAAATAGAGAATCTTAACCATCACAGTTTGAGCATTTCCAGTTACACTTGCAAGAATGTATCAACTACTTTAAACTGATACCACTTAATATTTTAATCATCTAACTCCCTTTGTTTGATTCAAAGCTCAGAAAGCAACCTTTCATGATTTATTACATGATTTATCTTCCAATGTTTGGCTACCGACTGGAGAGACAATGTGCTGAATATAGGAACTCTAAACAGACTCTTTTGCGGGGGTTGAATAAAATAGTATTTGCTGATGCAGATTTGTTTCCTGTGTGACTTGATTACAAGGAGAGAATGTATTTAACAGGACAACATGAGTAATTTAACCTGTATAACAATTATAATCCTCATTGTAAGTTAATAATTTGGAATTTTGTTGTTTACAAGGTCTTGTATGCATATGAATAGTTGAATCATGTATTCAGGTCCTGATTAGATCTGGGCACTGACAAGAGTGAGAGAAGCAACCTAAGTGTCTTTGGAGGGATGATTGGATAAAGAAGCTGTGGTACATATACTGCCATCTGTGACAACATGGGTAAATATTGAGAATATCATGCTAAACAAAATAATTCAGACAGAAACAACAAGAATCATATGATTTCACTCAGATGTGGGATATAAAAAAGGAATCAACAAATACAACAAAACAAAACAAACAAAAAAAACTGGTAGACAAAGACAACAGTATGGTGGTTACCAGAGGGGAAGCAGAGTTAGGAGAGGTAAGACAGGATAAAGGGTGTCAAATATATGGTGACAGAAGAACACTTGACTTTGAGTGATAAACACAGTGCCTTATACAGATGATGTATCACAGAAATGTACACTTGAAACTTATATAATCTTACTAGAGGCCTGGTGCAAAAAAATTTGTGCACTGGGAGGGGGGTCCCTTAGCCTGGTCTGTGCCCTTTCACAGTCTGGGACCCCTCGGGGGATGACCACCTGCTGGCTTAGTCCTGCTCCCCAGGGGATTGGGCCTAAGATGGCAATCAGACATCCCTCTGGCAGCCCGGGAGCCCTAGGAGGATGTCCACTTGCCAGCGGGGAGCAGGCCTAAGCTGCAGTCGGACATCCTTAGTGCTGCTGAGGAGGCAGGAGAGGCTCCTGCCACCACCGCTGCACTGGCAGCCATCAGCCTGGCTTGTGGCTGAACAGAGCTCCCCCTGTGGGAGCACACTGACCACCAGGAGACAGCTCCTGCATTGAGCTTCTGCCCCCTGGTGGTCAGTGTGTGTCATAGTGACCAGTCATTTCCAGTCATTCTGCTGTTAAGGACAGTTTGCATATTACCCTTTTATTATATAGGATAGAGGCCGGGTGCATGGGTGGGGGCAGGCTGGTTTGCCCTGAAGAGTGTCCCAGATCAGGATGGGGGTCCCGCTTGGGTGCCTGGCCAGCCTGGGTGAGGGGCTTATGGCTGTTTTCAGGCTGGCCACACCCCGTTTAGGGTGGGGGTCCCCACTGGGGTCCCTGGCCAGTCTGGGTGAGGGGCTGAGGACCGTTTCCAGGCTGGCCAAGCCCCCAGCCCCCCAACCCCCCAGTGATGGAAGTTCACAGCCGCTCCTTTTTTTTTTATTCTGAGATTTATTTACCTTCTATAATTGAAACTTTGTAGCCTTGAAAGGAGCTCAGAGCTGGCCAGGGCCGGCTGGTGGGAAGCTTGGCTTCCTCCATCACCAGGGGCAACCCACTCCTGCCCGCTCCAGCTCCGTGGCCACTGCCCGCTGAAAGCAGGTATCTGGGGTTTATTTACCTTCTATAATTGAAACTTTGTTGCTTTGAGTGGAGCTTAGATACAGGGCGGTGGCAGGTGGGAAGCTTGGCTTCCTCTATCATTGGGGCAACCAAGCCTCCTGCTTGCTCCAGCTCCATGGCTGCCAGCGGCCATCTTGGTTGGGTTAATTTGCATATAGACGCTCTGATTGGCTGGTGGGCATGACTTAAGGCATAGCGAAGGTATAGTCAATTTGCATGTTTTTCTTTTATTAGTGTAGATTAACTAATGTGATTTTTGTCTTGTAATATGTTCATGTACTATATCACATTTATTGATTTGTAGATATTGTACAAATTTTACATCTCTGGAATAAATCCCACTTGGTCATGGTGTATGATTTTTTTTAATGTATTGCTGGATCTGATTTGCTAAATTTTTTTGAGGATTTTAGCATCTATGCTCATCATGGATATTGGCCCATAATTATCTTTCTCTGTAGTATCTTTATCTGGTTTTAAAATTAGGATTATTCTGGTCTCATAAAAAGAGCTTGGAAGTGTTCCTTCCTCTTGAATTTTTTGAATAGCTTGAGGAAGATAGGTGTTAGTTCTTCTTTGAATGATTGGTAAAACTACCCTGTGAATCTGCACAGAACAGGGCTTTTGTTTGCTGGATTTTTTAATTATTATTATTACTGCTTCAATTTCATCAATAGTTATCAGCCTATTCAGATTTTCTGATTCTTCCTAACTGAGTTTTGGAAGATTTTATTTTTCTAGGAATAGGTCCATTTCATCAAGGCTGTCCAGTTTGTTGGAGTAGAGTTGTTCATAGTATTTTTTTACAATCCTTTGTATTTCTGTGGAGTCAGTTGTTACTTCACCTGTTTCATTTCTGATTTTGTTTATTTGGGTCCTCTCCCTTTGTTTCTTGGTGAGTCTGGCTAGAGGTTCATCAATATTGTTTATTCTTTCAAAGAACCATCTCTTGGTTTTATTGATCTTTGGTATACATTTTTTGATCTCTATGTCATATATTTCCACTCTGATCTTTATTATTTCCATCCTTCTGCTTATTCTGGGTTTTTCTTGTTGCTCTTTTTCTAATTCTTTAAGTTGTAGGGTTAGATAACTTATTACAAGTTTTTCTTGTTTTTTGAGGTGGGCCTGTAGTGCTATGAACTTCCCTCTCAGGATTGCTTTCACTATGTCCCTTAGATTTTGGATTGTTGTGTTTTCATTGTCATTTGTTTCTAGGATGCATTTTATTTCTTCTTTTATCTCTTTGGTAACCCAATCATTGTTTAATAGCATGCTATTTTCTCTCCATGTGTTTAATTGTTTTTTATTGCTTTTATTATAGTTGATTTCTAGTTTTATGCCACTATAATCTGAGAAGATACTTGATATGATTTCAGTCTTCTTGATTTTGTAAAGACTTAGCTTGTATTCTTTTTTTCTATATTTATTTTGTTTATCACTAACATGTATATGTCTTCTAACAGATATAAAGAAAATCAGAATCAAATTTATTTGGGGACATCCAAGGATCTTATGCAGCCACTGGATCTATGCTTTTAAACAATGCTATGAATACTTGTTAAATCAATGAAACACTGGTGACACATTGCAACTACTTTGTGAATAAACATGGTTTTTAAATTAAACATCATGTGTTATCACTGTTATTTTCTTTCTTTGATTTAGACAATGCTTAAATAGAATGCTACAACTTGGCATAGTTGCAAAAGCAAAGGTTTTGAGTCCAAACATGGATTGAAATCTCCTTTTTCAATTAGCGATTGTAAACTAGAGATAATAATGTCCACCTTATAGGACTTTATTAGAATTTTAAAAATAAGATGTGGAAGATGCCTGGTGTTTTGCCTGGCACATAACAAATATTCTATAATTGGTAATAATTACACACTAGATAGCAAGAATTTTGTCTTTACACTTAAAATATCAATGGTAACTGTTTGTTGTCTTGTAGTCACATATTTTTATGCAGCTATTGCCAGGATTCCTCAGATAGTGGCCAAAAGAAACTAACTAACCTTCAGAAAGATTTATTTACAGTTCCTGTGTTAGGAGGACAGAGCCAAACATTTCAGTGATATAAGATTTCTAAAGTTATTGAAATATTCAATTTCTATAAAACTTACAATGTTTTGTGTGGCTCTACATTTCAAAAACACAGGTTCTATACGTCAGTGTTTATGTATTAATATATACACAGTACTTCTTACACTGACATGAGGATTTGTCATTCAAGACAAATAAAAAACATGAATTTTGAGTAATGATATAAGCCTGACAAACATACTTGTAAAATGCTACTTATCACAAATGCATGTTGCATAAATAGCCATTTCCTGACTTTTATGGTATAATTTTTGACCCACAGAATTTAATACCATGTTAGGATGAGCAGTGAATAAATAAGATTTTGTATTATAAGCCTAGATCTTTTGAATATTAAGGTTTCATTTGACAGAAACTTATGATTATGCCCATCTCAATAATATTTAAATTGTAAGATGAATGTCTGAAGTTATTATTAAGTGTACTATAGCAAATTTGTTATATAAAAGGTTACTTGAGATTTGTTGTAAACACGGAATGTTAGAAATACAGATTATATGTATATATTTTTTAATTTATACAGAGAAATAAATTACCTTTGTTTTAGAGCCCTTAAACTTGAAAATGCAATAAAAACCTAATTAACTAATTTATCACAAATACCAAACAGGCCAATGATTTTGGTAATTATCAAGAGAACTCAATTTTTGCTTTACTATGCAGATCTTATTTGCTGAACTGAATTGGAGATCATTAAAATTATGTGCAATACACTACTTACTGAAGCA